GGGGAAACAGGACAATAACATACAAGAAGAATTAGCCTGGTAAAGGGCACGTTTGGCCCGAATTGTGAGGGAATTGGAGGACAGCAGTTACAAAGTCATTACCTGGAATACTGTGTGCAGTTTTGGTCTCTGTGTTGAAGGAAGGATGTACATACAGTCTGCTGCTCCACGGAGGGTCCACTGGCTTCAGAAACTAGAGGGGCATAGCTTTAAGGTGAGAGGGGGAAAGATTTAAAAGGGACCTGAGGGGCAACTTTTTCACACAGAGGGTGGTGCGTGTATGGAATGAGCTGCCAGAGGAAGTGGCGGAGGCCGGTACAATTACAACATTTAAAAGGCAACGGGATGGGTAGATGATTAGGAAAGGTTTAGAGGGATATGGGCCAAATGCTGGCAAATGGGACAATGTCAGGTTGGGATGTTGGGTCAGCACGGGTGAGTTGGAGTGAATGGTCTGTTTCCGTGTTATATGAGTCTATGACAGCGTGTCCTACCACGAGACTGAGGAAATTCAGGTGATATTCTGTGGAGTTACGAACAATGAGAGATGGTCTCATTGAAACACGAAATGTGAAAGGGTTGGTCAGGGTTGACACTGACAGCTTGCTCCTAACTGGGGCTCGGGTATCTGTAACACTGACATCAACAGGGCTTCACAAAGGGGAAACGGTGCCTGATAAACTTCCAGGAATTCTTTGAGGAGGCATCAAGCAGGACAGGTAAAGGACAAGCAGTGGATGTTGTACTTATGGATTTTCATAAGGTCTATGACAACACAGGATCAGGAGTAGGCCATTCAGCCCCTCCAACCTGTCCCACCCTTCAAGGAGATCATGGCTGACCTATGGCCTAACTCATTCCTGTCTTTGGCCCATATCCCTTAACCCCTTTGCTTAACAAAATGTATTTATCACAGATTTAAAACTAACAAATGATCTGTTTGTGGAAGAGAGTTCCAAACCTCTCCCACCCTTTGTGTGTGGAAATGCTTCCTAACGTCTCTCCTGAACAATCTGGTCCTCACTCTCAGACCATGCCCCTTGTTCTAGAATCCCTGAAGAATTTGATTACATCTCTCCTTAACCTTGTAAATTCTAGAGGAAACAGGCCTAATTTGTATAATCTCTCCTCATATCTTAACCCTTAAAGTACAGGGATCATTCTTGTGAACCTACATTGTAATCCCTCCAAGGCCAATCTATCCTTCCCGAGGTGTTAGTGCCCAGATCCGCTCAGAGTATTCCCAGTGGGATCTAACCAGGGTTCTGTGTAACTGCAGCATAATGTCTGCGTTCTTATACTCCAATCCTCTAGATAGAAAGGCCAGCATTCCATTAGCTCTCTTAATTATTTCTGACCGGCTCATGACATTTTAAAGATCTCTGCACCTGAATCCCCACGTCTCCTTGGACAGCCATTATATTTAACCACGTCACATCTCGACAGTCGCACGTTAAGCCCTTTAATAAGAGGCCAGGATTACTGGGTCCTCCACCTTTTGAACTTATGGTCACAGTCTGAGGAGAAGGGGTGATCCTTTATAACTGAAACAGTGGGGATGGGCACGTGGCAAAAGTCTTCTCTCAGAGGACGGGGAATCTTTAGAAGTCCGTGTCCCAGAGGGATATGGACCCTCCATCATTGAAGGTATTTAAGGCTGAGACAGAAAGAGCGTTTTCTCTCTCTCTCTCGGGGAATTTAAGGATAAGAGGAGCAAATGGGAAGATGCTAGCTGAACCCTAAGACAAGCTATGATGGGATGGGTGAATGGTCTGATCGCTGCTGCGTTTGTCGAGGGAAGGCTCACTCTGAGCAGGTTATTCACCAGGATGGTTCCGGCAGCCTCCTGCAGTGCTCCCTCGACGCCAAGAGCCATTAAACACAGCCATGTTCCACTTCTTCATCACCTCATCCTCCAGAGTATCCGGTGTCAGGTTACAGATCTCCAGCCGAGAAAACTGCCGCAGGAATTCAGAGAACGCCATCCTGGGAAAGACATCAAATAATCTACATTACCACCCTCATCCTCGGGACCTCTCAACCACCGACACACACCTCAGGTCCTCATCCCCTCATCACTGACAGGCCCCACATTTATATCCCCTCATCACCCAGACCCATAAAAGGGAAGACTAGCGAATACAAGATATAGCAGCAGAATTAGGCCATTCAGCCCATCAATTCTGCATTATCATTCAATCATGGCTGACGTGTTTCTCATCCCCATTCTCCTGCCTTCCCCCTGTAACCCTTGACCTCCTTACTAATCAAAAATCTATCTCTGTCTTAAAGACACTCAGTGACTTGGCCTCACAGCCCTCTGTGGCAATAAGTTCCACAGATTTACACCCCTCTGGCTGAAGAAATTCTGAGGCTGTGCCTATTTGGTCCTAGTCTCTCCCACTGGTGGAAACATCTTCTCCATGTCCACTCTATCCAGGCCTCTCAGTATTCTGTATCAGATCACCCCCCAACCCCATCCTTCTAAACTCCATCGAGTACAGACCCAAAGTCCTCAACCACTCCTCATTTCCAGGATCATTCTTGTAAACCCCCTCTGGACCCCCTCCAGCACCAGCACATCCTCCCCTAGATACAGGGCCCAAAATAGCTCACAATATTCCAAATGCGGTCTCAGCAGTACATCCCTGCTCTTGTACTCTAGCCGTCTGGAAATG